GGGGGTGTTTCTGGGTTTAATTTGGTTATTTTTACCCGAACAATTGACTGCTAGTTACTGTAACGAGGGTAACTGGACGTCAGCGAAGTGTAACGGCATTTTCAACCGTAAAACGTGATGCTTCGGAGCCTGTCAGATTTGTCGGCGTACAGTTTTTACGTACGTCGTTGCATAAAATGGGTTAATGGGGGGAGGGGTGGTGTTCCTGGGTTTGGTTTTGGTATTCTTGCCCGGGCCAGTGAATTTTAGTTACTCAGGTACGGGTAACTGTGGGGTGGTGTTTCTAGGTTGAGTTCGGGTATTCTTACCCGGGCCAGTGAATGCTAGCTAATCTAACGCGGGTAAGTGGCCGTCAGTGATGTGTACGGCATTTTAAACCTTAAAACGTGATGCTTTGGAGCTTGTCATACTTGTCGACCTACAGTTTTTACGTATTCCTGTTTCGCAGCACCTATAGATCGTTGCATAAAATTTGGTAATTGGGAGGGGGAGGGGGTGTTTCTGGGTTTGATTTGGGTATTTTTACCCGGGTCAGTGAATACTTTTTGCTCAGACGCGGGTAACTGTGGGATGATGTTTCTACGTTGAGTTCGGGTATTTTTACCCGGCCAGTGAATGTTAGTTACTCAGACGCGGATAGCTGAAATCCTGCGATACGTACGGCATTTTAAACCATAAAACGCGATGCTTTGGAGCTTGTCACACTTATCGGTGTACAGTTTTTTACGTATTCCTCTCTTGTACCACCAGCACGTCTCTGCATAAAATGCGCAGTGGTTTGCCTCAGCTTTTCAGTTATAATTGCAACATAGAACGAATCTCCGGCCAAAAGTCTAGTGACTTTTCACATTTGTTTTTTATGAGAGACAAAGGCACCCACAAAATTAGCCTTATCGGTAATAATACGACGTTTTATGCACCTCTTAGATATGCCACCGAGTACCGGTTCAGCCCCTTGATTTCCAAATTCCATCGGCCCACAGGGGTCTTTCCCCTTACTAAAGCGTCTTAGTGTTGTACTTCAGTTTATCCCCGGTGTTCTCAGTGGTGGGATTTTGAGTTTGCGCATGTTATTATTCTCGATGGTACGCCAAGTTTAACGATTAGGGGTGCTGTTTTTGTCTTTGTTTGGTGTGTGCCCGAATTTCCCCTTATTTCTTGTGCTTTTGCGTGTAAAACATTGATTTGTGCGGTAAAATTTGGCGCACTTAATGGCTAATTTTTCGTTTTTTCCAGGAATATTCCCCCGCAAAGATGGTTGAGAAGACCGAGTAAGTTTTTTAAAGTTTTAACTTCTGTTTTTGGGTTTTTTTTTTTTTTTTTATGGAATCTCATGCATTTGCTGCTTTACTGGGCCTAACGTGTAGTAGACATGTAACGCGTACTTTCCCCCAAGGGCAGTTAGGTGGTAAAAATTTAAAATTGGAGGTAATTTGTTAAATATATTGGTGAACACAGGCAAGAACCCCC